GAAAGCCCAAACCATAGCCCAGCGCTGGAGGAACACTGTAATTAATGTCACCCACAGGCCTCCTTTGTTGGCTTCTGCCTTACAGTTCTTAGAATTGTAGAATTTTATTGTATTATTTCCTTTAAATCACTTTTACAAGTGGAAAGGAGAGGGTGTTCTACTCTTCAGCCTTTGTTTCGGCCGTCAGAGTTGAGTTTTGGTTTGAGATGCATCTGACTAGCCCTTGTTGTCATTTGATGTGGTTAGAATCCTAGCCCACACCATGCATTCAAGGGCAAAGCAGAAAAGGGATGTAGGCTTCTCTCCGGCAAATGTCTTCTTCTAAAGAAAAGGAAATGGTCCCAGAGAGGTAAAGGGACTTTCCCAAGGCCATCCAGCTATTGAATGACAGATCTGGGACTAGTGCGCAGGTGTGGTGACCCATGCTGTGGCCCTCTTTCTCCACGTAACACTATGTCACTACCTCCTGTGGATAAATATGGTCTTCTATGGAGATATGCTGGGAAGGAAACTCACCTGTGCTAGAACACTACGTCCCAGGAGCTGTGCCAGGTGTTTCATCTACATTGGCTCATTTTATCCTCATAACCCCTGTCAGGCAGTGATCACCATTAAGTCGTTTGTGCATAGATGGAGAGGTTCACCGTAAGACTGCAAACTTCTTTCTCCCAGGCTCTGTTAAATGTCTCCTTCCTCTCATTGTCTTCCTCCTTTGGCCTCCCTCACACTTTGAAACACCTATTGATAGACTTAGTTGGGAAGTTTTAAATGACAAGGTTTCCTTGAGTTGAGGGGTGACAGGTGGGTCACATTTTATGGGCAACTCTGAATACAGAAAATATATTTTTAAAATTGAGTGGAACAAGACTCTTGTGAGAAGTCGAGAGTGTGGTTTCCAAAGCAGTGGGGTTTCTTTTAGGCACTGGGTATGAGCGGTGGTGGCATGCTCCTATCACCCCAGGTCCTCCTTCAGGCACAGCCTTCCGGAAGAAAAGGAAACAGAGGGAGCCCATCCTTTGTGGCTGTTCTACCTAAGAGTCAGGTAATTGATGCCAATTTTTTTATCTTTATTGTTTTTCAGATCACAGAACCTTTTGGTGACATCAAATTCATGCCCTGCTGCTCAACAGTTGGAAGTGATCTGGTTTCTGTAAAGACCTCTAGGGAAAATGCCCCATGTCTCAGCATCTCTCATGAACCTTTTCCCAGGCATTGGAAAGCTCTTGGTGTAGAAACACCTTTCAAACAAGGCCGTGTCTTTTATTTCATGGATCTTACTACTTAAGTGCCTAATTCGGGGCTTTGAATTCAGCAGGTGTTTTTGAATTGATGTTGGGTAAGAAAGGGAAGGAAGGTTGGATTTTTGCCTTCCAAGTTTTTAGGCTATTGTTCTAGAGATCATAATTTGGTAAGGAATTGGAAATATATGTTAAAATAATACCACTTTTGGGAAATTATCATATGGAAATAAAAGCTCCTGTTCATGAGGGTATATGTAAAAGAGTTTATTATGGAATTTTATTGTATTATTTTGTAGTAGTTTGTTATAATATTGTTTAGAATGACAGGAAACTGGGAGCAACTTGAAAGTGCATCAATAGGTGAGTTATTTAAAAAATGAGGTTTATCCACACAATGGCATGTTATATAGCTCTTCAAAACAACGTGGATCTACATGTGATAACCTGGAAAGAAGCCTGTAATCCACTGGTTAATGGAGAAAGCAAGTTTCTGAGTAATGTATATAACATGATTCTATTTATATACAACATATACCAACAGCACACACTTCTATATATAACTTGTGTCTTATATGTATTTACATGAGCAAAAAATAGGGAGTATATAGCAAAATGTTAACATTACCTTAGAGAAGTGAAGCTTTAAATTAAAAAAAAAATCTAACAAAGTTTAAATTAAAAAAATCCTCTGGGAAGAGAAGAAAGCGATCAGACTGATTGTCTAGAAAGGAATCAGATAGAATCCATCAAAACTTCGTTTGGCCACTCCCATTCATTGTGCGTATTCAGGTGGGGCCGCCCCTGAAGCACGAGAGACGAGCCCTGTGTTAGGGCAGATCACAGTGTGTTACACCCCAGGTGATAACAGTACATAGGGCATTTGGAGAGTCAAGGCTGCAAAAGTTTCAGAGGCACATAAGAACTTTGATATCTTGATAAAGAATGTGTCCCAACCTGTACTTGGAAGCTACCGTGCTTCTGGTCCAGGCCTCGTAGCCTTCAGTGTCTCCCTGTCCATATCAAATAGATCATTCTCACAGGGCCTACCTGACTATAAGTCATTGATTATAGCTATATTTCACCTATAAGAACCAATCCATAGGACTCCTGATAGTACCTGAATGTACTATAGCACTTACTGTATTAGAGTTAGTCGTTTAACCCACTCTTCCTGGAAAACAAGTATGATCAGGGCAGGGATATATATGTCTTTTCATCTTTTAGTCCAGAATGTCTAGTACATGCTTGGCCCATGGCCGTTGCTATATAAGAGCTTATAGAACACAAAATGTATTGAGTTATTATACTGGATAGATTGAATGGTTTCCATCTGGCTTGGCGGGTGGGGATTTGGGAAAGATTTTCCACGAAAGGTTAAGCCTTTATGAAAAATTTGAAAATGAGGAAAGAAATGGAATGTACAACCTCCACAAAGTAGAAAAAGCTTATTGTGTTGTGGCAGCATTTTAGAATATTTTATAATAGTCCCCTTAGGGATCTGCTACTGAATCCATCTTCCCTCTTCTCCAGAGAAGTCTGGATTCCATCATAGGCCATTAAGAAAATGTCTGTATGTCTTTTGGGTCCTTCTCATCCTTACAGAAAGGTAGGTAACAAGAGTATTCAATTTTTTAGGAGAATAAACCACCAAGGTTTAAGCTATCAATGCAGAACTACTAAAGAAATGCCTCCCAAATATTGTTAGAATAAATAAACAAACCAAATAGCATCATATCCAACACAAAACCACAATGAATTCATTTAATCAGACATTATCAGAGCAAGGAAGAAATAACATTCTGGTTTTACGAGCAAAACAAAACAAAACAAAAACCCTCAGATTGCCTTGCAGGCACTGATGGCACTCTTGTAAGTTGTTCTTTGGAACACAGTTTAAAAAATATTGAGCCTTGGGTTAAGGAGGAGTAGAACTGCAGAAGCTTTCATGTAGGAGAACTGTCCAGGTGTGGGGCTGCCTGGAGGCTCAGCCAGATAGCTGGCTGCTGCAGCCTCTGCTTGGCTCCCTTCTGGTCCAGAAGACACTGAGAACACTGCTGGATTAGCTGCCATGAGGTGGTGATGGATCATGGCTGTACCCTGATTTTTGAGAAGCCATGGACTCACTGCAGTATGCCAGGGCCATATGTGAGGTCACCTGGGACGATGAGAAAACCACATGACACATCTTACACATCTCCCCTTACAGCAGCAACCACACGGGAACAAGCCAGAGCCAGGGCTTTGCCAGGCAGCATGGTCTGCGCACTAGAGAAGCTGCATGCTGATTCCAGAGGCACTGCATTTTGGGAAGCAGCAAAGGAAGTGTTGGTTGGCCCCTGGAGATGACATAGTCTTCACCTTCTGGGGTTACAGCATGGGCTCAGAGATGAAAGGAGAGAGAATTATGGGGTCCCAGCATGGGGCAGGTGGAACCTTAGAGGCCTTGCTCAACCTTCTACTGTTTGCAGCTCCTCTGCAACATGTATGCCAAATAATTAGTCTAACTGAACCCTTCCAGTGATAGGAAGCTCACTTTTGTGGTGTCTCCTAAAGCTGGGTAACATTTCCACTTGCAGCCCTCCCCAAGTGTCTCGTTCCAACTGCTGTGTGCTAGCTCAACCACCAACACAGCTTCACGCTACTCCATGGCTCCCAAGAACCTCTGTGTTAGAGATGGACCTTTCTACAGTGTGGGGGTTCCTATAGTTTTGGAGGGCCCTTTCTGTAACTTAGGGGTCTTCTTCTTCTGCAGATCTTTTTATCTCCAAATATCCTTATCCTATTGTCTTTAACCATGACTGTCCATTATAATTAGGGATTTTAAAAAATCCTGATGCCCAGACCTCACTTAATCATATGTCTGGGGATGGAACCAAAGTACCGGTATTTTCAAGGCTCCCTAGGTGATCCCATTGTGCAACCACCGTCTCGCTCCCTGAACCTGGTCTACCTCTCGAGAGTTTATGCCATGCATCAGACATTATTTGAATCCTGACTCTACCGTTTGGGCAATCCTCTGTACTTTTGTTTTCTCATCCGTTTTGTGGGGATAATAACAGTATCTACGTCAAAGGTTTGTTGAAAGAACTGCATGAAAACATATGTAAGCCTAGAAGAGTCTCTGGCATGTAGTAGGTTTAACTCGTGTGCGGACGACAGGGCCTGGTAAATGTTAACACAGTATTTATGCTCTTACCATGAGACAGGCAGCATTCTAAGCAGTTGACATGTGCTAGTCGATATATTTTGTGGCGTTGAAGATCTAAAGTAAGAAAAATGACATAAATAAAATGTATCTTCAGGATTTCCTTACCTGGCAGGATCTATTGTTTCAAACTACCCATTTAATTCACACCCCGGTGAACTCTCTGCACCCCTTGTCATCCTGTGTGTCTTCTCACCTCCCATCAAAATCTCTTCAAAAGCTCTACAGAAGTTCTGTACATGCCAAAGCAACCGCGGTGACTAAATTAAGAGCTCATCAATAGTCAGTCCAATACCTTATTGCTTCTTGTCAAGTCTAGTGCCAGGTAAGCTCTTTGCGGAATCACTAAACTAATTCACCTTGTAAAAGATTGTACTAATACATTTGGCAACAGAGATGGAGACACTGAGTTCACGTGAATGACGGGGTGTGAGAAAATAATTGCACAGCACCGACTATGCACTAGGCACTCTTCACGCGTCCTGAATTTTCATCGTCGTAGGAGGTGGGTGTTCAGGTGATCCCTTGTGGTACAACAAATCCCTTCACACTTAGTCCCTTAAAGTAACAATTATTTTGCTTGTGAATTTGTAGTTAGGTGGTTGCATAGCAGGGACAGCCCCGCTCTGTTCCAAGATGGCTCAAAAGGGGGATGACGTATCCACTGTCGAGATGGTTCACTCTTCTCCTCCCAGCCTTCATGGAACCACCCTGGTGGCCCCGGCTCCTTACTCACAGCCCCAGGCCAGCTCTGGGATGGGCTGGGCTAGAAAACTCTTGCTGTGAAAATGTAGTTCTCCAGCTCAGCCTCTCCACTCTCCATTCCAAGGGGAGCCGTGTCTGCGCTTGGGGAGAAGCCAAGCCAAGCAAAAGATTTCGACAGCTAACGGAGGAAACACACCCACTGAGGTTCTCATAGCAACATAATCACGCACAGGCAGCAGCCTATTTCGGTGGGAGCTCGTTTCAGCCCCCCTCCTCCCTGGTTAGTCACTGAGTGGCTGCACACGCAGCAGCAGCGTGGGGTGGGGGCAGAGTGTTGGGCTGAAAGTCGGGAGGCTGGGGAGCTGGGTCGTCAGCTTGCTGTAGGACCACCGACAGATGTCCTCCTCTCTCTGATTTGGGGGTCCTTATCTGTAAAATGAGAGGATTGGGCCAAAGACCTGTGAGGATTCCTTCTTTCCTGATTTTCTTTGTACAGGTACTGAGAACCTTTTGGTAGGGGATCAGATGTCTCTCAGAGTCTTTCGTCTCTGAGAAGATGGCTTAGAGAAAAGAGGCTTCAAGAGGGTAAAAGTCATTCTTGAAGCTTCTTGCTACATTTTCTTTTCATCCTCTCCTCTTCTCTCCTTACCCCTCACTTCCCACCTTGACTTAGTGCAATGTACCTCTCTTTGCCTGGGGACCTAGTGACGGACGCATCTTTAGTCCTGAGCACGATTCTGGCCCTTTTCTTCAATGGACTCTGAGGTTAGTTGAGGACAGTCAGGCTCACACTTCCTGGCTGTCAAAGGTGATGATAAAAGCAAAGAGGGCATTTGGACCGATCTCCCCAATCAGGTGCAGATATGAAGTGAATAGAGCCAGATGCTCAAGGAACATCTTTTAGGTCGCTGTCCTTGACTTGTAGTCTGAAAGCTTGAACGTGTAGCTGTTTTGAGGAGTGAGCCTGAATGTCCTGTTGCAACAGGAGAGGCAGAGTGGGGTCCCGCCTTTGTTCCGTCTCCCACCGCCTGACAGATGGCCAGTAAGACAGAGAAAAAGCAGCTTTCAAAGTGAAGACAGGAATGCATTGAATAAAAATTCACACCCCCTGCTGCCGCCCAAACTCCCTTAAAAAAGGATCAAGAGAATCTTAATGGGTATGTGACATCCTCCCTTTCTCCCATAAAAGGGACTTCGAAATCTGGCGATGATGGGGGAGGGGTGAGGAGAGGGAAATGTGTGGGCAGGGGGCTGCGGGCAAGACTGGGGTAGGGGGAGCACGACTTCAGCCTCATCCGTTTGACTTTCTCCCACCCTCTTTCCCAAGCCACCTCTGGCTGCCACCTTCGCCCCACCCTCTCAGCCCGAGAGGGGCTTGGAGTCCCAAGAGCCTTGGACAGGGACAGCGGGAGAAAAGGATCCATAATGATACCACCCTTAACCCTAGAGTTGGAGTTAAGGGCCCTCCCCCATCCAGACACCTACCCCTTCGTTCCCGAAACCATAATTGGCCCAGGAAGGATCCAGGAGCTGGCGAGGAGCAGGAGAGTTGGGGCGGGGCGGAGAGGGGTGGGAGCGAGGTAACGGTGGCCCAGTCTTGCCCAGAGCTTGCCCTCGGTGGGAGGACGCGAACCGGCTCTAAACCCGCAAGAGCCTCGCCCGGGCACCTGCCTCCTCCGAGCCCCCGCGCAGCCCTTGCCCCCGCGCGGGCCGTGCGTGGCGCCGGGGGGTGGAGGCGGCCGAGGGACCCTCGGCGGCGGGGGAGGGGCCGGCCCGGGGGCGCTGGGGGCCCGCGGTCTGCGCCCAGCCGCCGCCCGCCGTGCCGAGCCTCCGCCCCCGCCCCCACTCGCCCGGCTCAGCCCGGGGAGCGGCGCGCAGGCAGCGAGCGGCTTCGCCCGGCGGCCCGCACAAGTTGAGAGGAGTTGGCTGCCCGCGGCCGGCCGGACTTCGCGAGCCGCCCGGAGGCCGCCGCCGCCGTGGAGCCTTCGGGGCTGCTCCTCCCGCTTAGCCCGCAGCGCGGGTGGACAGGGGCGGGGGTCGGGGCGCGCCGGGAGAACTTGCAACTGTGTGAAGGAATCCGGAGCAGATGAGAAGGGAGGAAAATAAAAGAAAGTGGAGACTGCAGAAAAGACTCAACCGTGGCGGATCGTGCCGGCTGACGCTCCAGCGGAGGGGCTGGGTTGGATTTTTCTCTCCCATTCTCTCGCTCTCTCTTTTAAAGCGACACCAGCTCTCTCTCTTTCTCCGCTGTCTCTGCCACCAAACCCTTGCTGGCTCTTATGGGCATGAAACACTCCTCCCGCTGCCTGCTCCTACGGAGGAAAATGGCGGAGAACGCCGCCGAGAGCACCGAGGTAAGCAGGCGACGGCCCAGGCCCCCGCGCCCGCCGCCCGCCCGGACCCCGCGCCGCCGCCGCCGCCGCCGCCGCTCAGCGCCGTGCCAAACTTTCCCCAGCTCCATCCCGCTCGCTGCAGCCGGCCGAGTGTGTGTGTGTCTGTGTGTGTGTGTACGTGGCGGTGGGGGGGGGAAGTTCATGTCTCAGGTCCCCTCCCTCCTGAAAATGCAAAAGAGTCGCTCTCACCCCCACCACCCTCTCCTGCCACCCGCTGCTCCCTTCTCCATCCCTCAAGCCCCAACCCCTGGCGGCCGCGCTCCCCTGCCCTCTCCTCCGGGCTCCGTTAGGGCTCGCCAGTCCAGGCTTTGTGTGGAGCCCGGTGGGTGATCCCGGGGCCGGGTCTGCTCCCCGCGGCGCCCTGGCCACCCCCTGCTGCCGCCTCAGCTTTACCCTTCAAGCTCGAGGCAGCCCGAGCCCTCGGTCCCCGCGGCAGCGCGGAGAGCTCCCGGCCGCGGGGGCCGAGCCGGTGGCAGAACCTGGGCACCTCCAAAAGACCCCCTGGCCCAGCTCCGGGCCGGGGGAAGTCTGCGATCTTCGGATCTAGAGCCGCCTCGGGGGCGCTAAACCTGCGGAGGGCGCGCGGGCCGCGGCCACTTTCAGCACCACGGACAGCGCCCGCGCCTGCCGCAGCCGAGCCTGCGCGGGTGGCGGGGGCCGCGCGCCGCCGGCTGCGGAGAAACGGGTCTGCAGCCGCCTGTCCCGCAGGAGGAGAGGAGGTCGCTGGGGCTCCGCAGACTGTGCGCTTGCCCCTCCGCCTTGGGCAGCCCAACGGCCGCCCTTTCCGTGCTCTCTAGCTGCCCGGAGCCTCAGACAGCCCTGCTGGGCTTGGCGTCCCGAGACTCGAGGCTGTGCTTCCTCGCCTCGCACTGACCCTGCTGTCATTACAAGCGGACTGTTCCGTAGGCTCTGCGCACCTGTAGTCACGAAGGGGATCAGCGTGGGCAGCCCCCTTACCTTCTCCGAGAAACGGTGCGCCGAGGTGGGGGCGGAGTGGGGTATGTGTGTGAAGATCGTCCCTTACTCGGTGGCAGGAAAAAGACACAGAGCAAACTCCCGGGCGCTATTAATAGCGGGGTGTCTGGTGGGGCTGCCGTACAGTTCACATATGGTTACCCATATGCAGCGGGGGGCGGGGATGGGGGTGTGGCGCGGGGACTGTCCCTCTGTCTTGCCAGAATGCAAGAAGGTGCAGAGACCCTTCCCGATTCTCTTCCCTGGAGGTCTTAACTCTGCAGCTAACCCTACTCCACAGCGTTAGCAGCAAAGCCTTAAAAATCTCCATTCTCTGAGAGACTAGAAGCAGCATGCATCTGGCAACTGCCGATTTGAAAGAAACACGCTCTGGGACTTGAAAGCAGTGGGGCATTCAGAAGCTAATGCTGTCTCCTTGAGTTAGGGCAAAGCCAGAACCGGCGTCCCCTACCACTTCCTCTTCCCCACCCCCCACCCGAGAGCAGACATTCGGATGATGTGTAGTGCAGGGCAGCTAGCCTCCCAGCAGAGAGCCAGCCTTTCCGATCCCCTCGCCCTCCACCCTCGGATCACCCACCAGTGGAGAAGGTTTCTAAAAATAGCTCAGAGTCTCAAGGCCCTGCTTGTGCAAAGTGTTAGGCACGCGGCAAGCAGCAGTCCCTGCAGCCAGGTGGCTGGAGCCCTGGAAGCGACAAGGCGCTTCCTCCAGCATCCACCTCCCCCCACCCCAGCCTTGTTTTTATATAAAAAAAGTTTTTGTGGGTCCCTTTCAACCGTACCCCCGCCATTGTGCGGGGTCTGGTGCAGACCCCTGCCAGGTTCTGCAGTGTGCAGTGGCGGCTGCTGGGCTCCCAATCTCAGCGAGGGTTAAAGGCGTCCGGAGCAGGCAGAGCGACGAGCGCCAGGCTATTTTTACTTGCTTCCCCCGCCGGTCCTCGCTCCCCCTTCTCAGCAGTTGCACATGCCAGCTCTGCTCAAGGCATCAATGAAAACAGCAGTAGAGGCAGCCCAGCTCCTGCAAGCAAAAAAACCTGGGCACAGCACAAAAGGGGGGTGGGGAACAAACCCAGCTGGGGATCCTTGGAGAGGAATGAGGCGGGTGGGGGGTTCGGTTCTTAGCAACTTCCTTTGAGAAGGGGTGGAACCCAGACTTCGTCAAACGTGCCCAGCGGAGGCATCCAGGCAGCGTGACAATCACTTGGTTTTCCTCCAGGAACTGGCTGTTTTTGGAATAAGCCAGGACTAGAGCAGCACTTTCAAAAGTGGGGTATCGTGGGTTTGCCTGCATTTATGGTGGGAGAGAGAGGGGAGAGCCCACCTCTGTGTATGTGTGGGTGGGTGGCGGTGATGGTGGTAACGGTCCTTGTTCTTAATTCAACACGTCTTTATCAAGCACTGACTCTGTACCGGGAATAACTAGGTACCCGAGATCCAAACAGGGGGACCAACTGGTCCCTGCCCTCAAGGGACTCATGGTATGGTGGACAATTGTGCTGGGTAATCCTGTAGCCACCTTTTCTAGCCTTCTGTTGGTGTTGTTTGTAAGCTCTGTATCTCATTTCATCCTCACGATAATCCTGTGAGATAAGAAAAGGTTAGTACTCGTTTCTTATCACTTTATATTTGTCCTACACCAAGGCCGAGGCTGCGGCTGAGGTCAAGCAGTGTCTGAAAGTCATCTGATGGGTGAAGTCTGTCTTGGAACACAGATTGCCCCCACTGTGATTCATTGCTCTTTGCCCTACCCGTGCTATTTCTAAAAAGATGCCATGTGTGAATGGGAGTAGATGAGGAGTGGGAGGAGAGGAATACTTTGGAAGGGAGCGATGCAACGATGGGGTAGGCAGGAGGGTGGAGGAGGTGTTCTTTCACAAGGTAAAGATAGGGAAAGATATTCCAACCGTTGGGCAGGATGGAGAAAGTGAGGAAGAAAAGTACTTTTATTGTGACCAAAGCTTCCTTCCACAAAGTGAAGTAACGAGCTAGGGTGTAGGGACATCAAAGTGACAGGCTTGGTGGGCACAGCTGGCACTGGATGGTCCTGGGTGCACTCTTTAACCACTTTGACCTCAGTCCCCTTCCTTGTCTGTGTGGGGTATCAGAAATGCCAGGACAGCCCCTGGCACATGGTAAACACACATGGTGTTAATTCTATGTATGCTTTCTCCAGATATGCCTCTCTTCCTCAGCTAAGGACATTACCCCTACCTCACCTCTGCCCTCACTGCGGCTCTGGCCTCTGAACTGTTGGTCCTCCTCTCCATTCCAGCCTCATCATCACTACCGTACTTGACTGGCTTTCAGAAGCACAAATCTGCTCATGATCAGACATCTCTAAAAACTTGGGATGTTGCCCCATTGCCTACAGGATACTGGATAAGCCCAATTTCCCTATGATATCATACAAGGCCCTTTAGTACCTGCCCCATGCAATTCTCCGAAAAGATCACTGACTTCATACCTGAATGTCTTTGTGCACGCTCTTCCCCCTGACTGTGCTGCTCTTTTCCCAGTCTTCTTGCTGGAAAAAATCTACCTCAACCTGCAAGACCCAACTCAAATGTCCCTTCCTCTGGGCGGCCTTTCCGGATCTGCCATTTATCCTCTCTTCCCAGGGAGAGTGACTGCTCCTCCTTATATGTTTCTAATGCTCGTCCTTCACTTTTCCCATTGCGGGATAATTGGCTTTCTATATGTCTATTTCTCCAGTTAGATAATGAACTCTTTTTTGGTATTTCCTGTTCTTAGCACTGTGTCTGACACACAGTAGATAATAAATGTTAATAAATGTTGACTGAATTGATTCATGTGATTGTGAATAAGCTCTTGAGCCTTCTAGTTTTTAGTCACTCACAGCTTTCTGAAAATTCGGATTTCTATCCCCCACCCCTCTGCTGTACTTAGGTTATTGTGAAGCTTTAAAACTCAAAATGGGTAAAGATTCTGGCAATCAAGGTGCTATGGCCGCTGAAAGCATGGGTACCTTTTGGTAATTTCTGTGCCTATTCAATACTCAGTAATTCCTGACTCTTGCTATGTGGTGTTCATCTGGATAGCAGTTTAATGGATTAATCACGATGTCCGGTTATGAACCAGGGGGGGATAATGGTGCCTTCCGCACTGTTGCTTGCTTTACTGATTCTTGGTGAAATGCGTTATTTATGGTGGTGACTCTCTGATTGGGGTTTTATCACCTCAAAGGAGAGCCCCCAGAGGTGGGGAAACAGTTTTAGCAAAGAGTCATTTGGGGAGACTGTTTTTTAAAGGTCCTGTTCACTTGCTTGCCCAGGCAGAGAGAATAATTATGGGTTGGGAAAAATCCTTCAATATGACAGTGGGATTAGGGGTTGCAATGAGTTATGGGGATAACTGAGCTGACTTTTGGCATGGTGTATCTTTGTGGTTTGGGCTAATGGATCCTTCTTCTTGGGAAAGTTACTTTCAGCTGAATGTGTGGTCCAATTATACCAAGGTCAGAGACTTGAGGAAGTGGGGCAAGCAGAGGCAGGACTCAGGCCCACTTCTCTGAGGATGGTCTGCTTCTGCGTCTCTTTCTGAAGAGTGCGGGCACGAACTAACCACATAGCCTCTGGTGCCTGACCGCCCGGTTGTAAATCCAGCTCTGGACTTAGTAGATGTGTTGCTATGTTGAACAAGTTGCTTAACCTCTCTGAGCCTCATAAAATTGCTGCGATGGTTAAATGGATTAATTCATGCAAAGGGATTAGAACATTGCCTTGTACATGATGAGCGCTCAATAAGTGTTTATGATTGTTATCCTGCTAGCTTTCAGGAGTCTTGCCAAAAAAGTGCAAACTGGATGAATTCTCCCACTTCCTCATTTCTCCAGCTGAAATGATCCATAAAACCATAGCCTGCATCATGTTTTCCTCCCTCAGCAAACACTAATTTCTGTCCTTAAGTGAGCTCAGGAGAATTAAGAAGATGCCCACATTTTTTTCCCCTGGCAAATTTGGCTTTTCCGAGAGTCCTAAATTGGCTTTTGGCTGTCAAAGAGGGTGAAACACAACACTCCCTTCTCCGATTCAGGAGTGGGTTTCTTTCCTCCTCTTTGCTAACTGCGATGTGAAGTGATTATCACATCCCAGTATGGAACATGCAAGAATCTGTAAAAACAGTCCTTACACCTTGGAGTTGATGCTGCCAGCAGGGGAAAAATGGGCAGCGTGAAAGTATGTGAACTGCCAAGGTAACTGCAAGCAGCTCCTGTGTGTGTGAGAAGCAGGCAGGTGGTGCCGTTGCAAACTGGCTTGGCCACAGGGTAGAGTGAGCGCAGGAAAGAAGGAGCCTCCAAGAGGTTGTCCTTCTGTCCATGCTTCTGCCTCCCAGCACACTTAACCCCGGATGTGTAGTTGGCCACTTGGTCTCTTGTTAAACAGGTTCAGAGAAGGCAAGTTCCCCAACCTCCTTAAGCATTTCAGTAGTCAGGAAGTTCTTCTTGAAGTCTGAGTTCAATCTCTTCTATTGCAATTGGAGTCACCTTTGTTTATGCTATTCTAAAAGTAGATGAAAACGGGCTGGTTACCTTTCCATTCTGGGTTGTATTAGGCTATCACTCTCCTTGTTAGTTTTTGTTCCAAATTATCTCAATCTCTTTCTCTGATATTCTGGTATTATCCTTCTAATAGGAACAGTTAGGAGAAGAGTATTTGAGAAAATTTGCCTCTTGAATATTATTCAGCCAAAAATATACAAAATACCCAGGGGGATATTTCACACATCAAATGTCTTTTCCTCCTTCTCTTGTTATAAGAATTCCCTCAAGCATCACAGCTCATCCCAGATTTGTGATGGGTAACCCATAAGTAAAGATCTCTTTTTAAAGTGTAATTTTATAAGAGAAAACAGCTTGATATGCATATTTTCATAAACTCCTAGAATCTTAGAGCCGGGTGGAAACTCGAATCATTTAAACCAGGAGATAAGAACACTCGTTCAATATCACAGAGCTCTTCGGTGCTGGTGCTGGGACCCTGAGGACTCCTAGGCCTGTGCTATTTATACCTCCTTTACACGAGGAACCTGATTTATTGTTTTTATTTTTTGTGC